GTGTGTGTGTGTGTGTGTGTGTGTGTGTGTGTGTGTGTGTGTGTGTGTGTATATAATGGAATATTACTCAGCCATCAAAAAGAATGAAATAATGCTATGTGCAGCAACATGCATGGACCTAGAGATTATCATATTAAGTGAAGTAAGTCAGAAAGAGAAAGACAAATACCATATGACATAACATATGTGGAATCTAAAATATGACACAAATGAACTTTTATGAAACAGAAACAGACTCATAGAGAACAGACTTGTGGTTGCCAAGGGGGAGGGGGATGGAGAAGGGAAGGACTGGGAATGTGGTATTAGCAGATGTAAACTATTATCTATAGAATGGATAAACCACTAGGTCCTACTGTATAGCACAGGGAACTATATTCAATATTCTGTGATAAACCAGAATGGAAAAGAATATGAAAAAGAATATATATGCATGACTGAGTCACTTTGCTGTACAGCAGAAATTAACACAACATTGTAAATCAACTATATTTCAATTTTAAAAAGTATCCATTTGGGGAATAAATAAAAAAGAATAGGTAAATCTAAGCTATGATGATAGAAATCAGAGCAGTGCGGCCTTTGAGCAGAGTATAAAGGAAAGAAGGAACTGACTGCAACGGGATATGAAGGAACTTTTATGAGTTAATACAGATGCTTTGCATTTTGATTGTAATAGTGATTACATAGGTCTATATATTTGCCAAAACAAACAAAAATTTAAACTAAGAAAATAAAATAAGTCTAGTTTCTAATATTCCATATCAAGTCTATCTCCTTGTTCCCAGGAAGTATAGTCTATTGAGTCTTCCAGAGACTCTTTATTTTGACTATTTAGTAATGGGATATTGAGGAAAATATCCTAGGGCCCATTACGATGGGTTGGGCTACCCATTCTGCATAATTTGGTTCTTCTCTGCCCCACATGTATACTCTTCATCACTTTCATAACACCTAGCCTCAATCTATCTCTTGCTCTACAGATATGTCCAGAAGTAAATCACAATTAAAAAGTGAAACCTTGTTCCTCTGTTATATTCGAGTGCTATGTGTAGCCCATCTACCTCTTATGACCTCTATCTACTGGGCTATTTCTAGGTAGAACACTAGGTCTTACACTAGCTCAGAGACTGCCTCTTGGAATCTGCTGCACGGCATGTAGACTAGCTCCTTTAACAGGAAATACCAAAATAAAAAACAAAACAAGCAAACAAACACATACTACTATTCATGATCTTTACATTTTTAAAGACTTCTTAAATCAACTCATAGCCCAGACAAAACCTTTATTTGATAATCAGGAGGAAGGAATATGCTAAAGTTGTAAGAGCACTAAAAACTAAAACCTATATTCCAGTCAGAGTCTTTATAAATAACTAAGTTTCTAACCATAGAGCAGTCAACTAACCCTACTGGGCTCCAGTTTCTCACTTATAAAGGTATCAGCCTCTGTGATACCTAAGGCTTCCTTTGTCTCTAAGAGTCTATGCTTACAGATGATGTTTCAATTTACATATTTAGAAAGCTGGGTTATGTCCTAAAGATTTTCTTTTTGTCTCTTTTTCAGGTTTTCTGTTTGTTTTGTTGTTGTTGTTGTTGTTGGTTTGCTTGTTAAGATTGGAGCTAAGAAATCAGTTTTGTTAATAAACAGGCATGGTAACTGAGTCAAAATAGGTAACAACCAAAAAAACCCCAAAAAAGCAGCATTAGAAACCCCATTCTATCTACTCACCATCAAAGACTGCTTCACTAGCACATTGTGGCCAATGCAGGAAAACCCTAAGGTACCTAAGACAGTTTAAGCCTCAATGGCTGAGTTATGAAGACTTGGTTAGTCAGTCCAGATATAGAAACAGTAGGTCAAATACCTACCAGTGAGACCTGGATAGTGCGGCCAGCACTTATTTGGCAGGTAATGAGGCACTTCTCTGAGACTGATCTGGGCAGAGTGACCCACTGCCAGAGTGGCCAGAAAGCCATGTGTTGGCTACCTGAGGATCACTGCTTCAAGTCCAGCCCAACAAGTGGCTATTCTTATTCAGAAAAGAAATAGAAATCTGAGTTCAGGTATTTGTTCCAGGGGAGAGACAGCAGAGTTTTAATCCAAGCAGCTGTCTTGGATGAACACTGTCTCTGTGTGTCTTAGAACAAGGGGAGAATTTCTACAGGAAGGGACATGGCTGAACTTTGAAGAAGAGGGCTGAGGGTCTTCTTTGGATTATAAAGGATCTCCTGGGACAAGGATGGTTGTGCATACGTTTTGCCTCATGCAGGGCTGAGTTCATCCTGATGGAGAACAAGGCATCCCTAAGAGACACTTCAGCACCAAAAGCTTTGCTAAAAGATGTTCATAAAGACATCCTGACATCCTTGTTTTCTGTGTTTGCACTCAGGTTTCTCCTTCTAAAACTTCTTCCTCTGTTTTTCCACTAGTAAAATTCAGTTTTCTGCACAGTCTTGATTCTTTGTCACTGACTTTGAATAAAAATAAATCAAGCCAATTTCACGTAAGTCAAGCTGGTTAAAATCGTCCTGGAAGATACTGACTTTTGTTTAGGGTTAGAGGCTGACAGAGCACAAGAGTCAAAATGTAACTAAAGATGCTGCCTAGCTCTATTAAATCATTCTTATCCCCAGATTCATAGTAACACCCTCTCAAGGACAACAGTTCTTTAATACATTCAATGTGTGTGACTTCTTAGACTGAACACCAAGTTTGTTTACCAGAAGCACTGGGGGGAAATAAAACGCTCCCATATCAAACAGAAATAAAATAAAATTTAAAAATAAAATACAGGCTGCACACACATCTCAAAAAGGCCAAAGCACCATCTAAATCAATAGCTTTTAATCTCTGTGCTTAATTATGAGTCCCAAAGTCAAACATCAGCTTCTAAATGATTCTAAGAATCTTCAAATACTCTTCTAGGACTCAAATCCCAGAGTCCAAGGGCATCAAGAAGTCACAGATACATTTATATCACTATAAAACAACACATGAAATCCTGATGGACTAGAACGTTACCAACTATTGCCACACCTATCCCCCATTCAACTTCTTCACCATGGGGAGGCACAGAATGAAGAGGCAGCGAATTGCCACTGTGATTCTCTGGGTTCTCTAATGGTAGGAAGCAAATTTTAAGGAAAAAGAAAAGAAAAGGAAAGAGAGAAGAGAAAATAAAAGAAAGGGAAAGGGAAAAAGGAAAGGAAAGGGAAAAGAAAGAAAGAGACAGAAGGAGAGAAGGAAGGGAAAAAAGGCAGGAAGGAAGGAAAGAAAGAAGGAAAAGAAGGAGAGAAACAGTGAGACAGCAAGGAAAAAAAGTCCAAAACAACCAATCCTTTTAAAAAGGGAATCAGAACAGATGTCAATTTGCTTTTGCTTTTAATATTTCTTTCAACTAGGCTATGCCCAATGGCATGTAACTGCACCGTGGTATAAGTTTTAATAGAAAATGCATTACCTTAATTTCTGTTTTAATAATATCTTAATAATTATTAAATAGGAGTCAACATTCCTCTTAGAGAGGGAAACTTTATTTAGGCAAATACTTCGAAAGGGCCCTAGGAGTACATGTGAGCCTGAATAGTGGCAAGAGCCCAGATAACAAAGAACAAGGTAACTGCCCTGCGTGAGATAAGAATCGTAACTTGCGGGGCGGAACACCCCTGGGAAGAAGCGAGCTGGGAGAATGGAAGCAGGGGAGCCAGGAAATGGTGCCAGGCACTGTGTTAAGTGAAACTGACAGACCAACCCTCCCACATGCTCACCCTGCTCCCACCCACCACACACACAATCTTTCCACACTTGTGACACTGTGGTACAGAACAGAGACAGTGTGTGTGGAATCCAAAGACCAGAGCTAGAATTAATTGTAGGAACTAAACTTCCTCCAGACCCACAGAAATCTTGGTAAGACCTTTGCCACCCATGGAACGGTGTGTGGTGGGGCACAGGGGATCATGCTAATCTTATCTTGATGTCAGGAGGCTGGACATTGCCGGTCAACTCCTGAGTTACACCGGTGACCAGCCTCTTGCTGTTACAAGGGGTTACCCTCAATACCAAGTGCCCCAAGTAATTACCAACTATCTTTGTACTTTGCTGCCTTTAAAACACAGATTCAAATTCTTCTTCTCCAAGAGAACTTCTCACCTTCTTTTCTTTTGGATCACTACCCCACCTTGGGAATCAGCCAAATTATTGTCAATACCTTGTACAAAAATTGCTCTTGGGGGGGAGGCAAGGTGGTCTATATCCTCTAGATAACTTCTGCACTTTGCTGCACTTCAGCAAATAACGAAGGAGGCTAATTTCTGCTTTGGCCCCTTCCCGCCTCTTCTTTCATTCCCATCTTCCTATTAGGGGAATAACATCTTCTCCATTCTCTAGAAGGATTGATCAATGCCTAGCACAGTGCCAGGCACATAGTGGGTAATTTTGATTAATTAAATTTAATTAAATTATAAAATCACAGATCAGCACAAATGATTACATGAGGCAGTTAAGGAAATGCTATAGAAATATTTTATTATTACTGTCATTACTTTCATCATTATAAGAGAAATAAACTACTTTGGCAGCGGAGAAACTTCTATTTATTTACCTCTGGACCATCTTTGCCTGCTCGTAGCCAAATTGCTACTGCCAGGATTGAGGCACCACATAGCTGCAGAAAAAAGAAAAAAATGTTAGAGTACGCCCAAGATAAACTACAACTCTAATTCCACACACCTCTAGCCATCTGGTAACAATGGTTTATCATTAATTCTACCATTACAACCTAAAAGACATAAATGAGGCACATTTATGTGTAGATAATTGCTAAAATGTTCTGTTGTAATTGGAAAGTTTGATAAGAATAATCTGTTTTCCATCCACTACAGGGGAGGGGAAAGATGGTTTTCCACGTTTCAACTCTTAACTGCGTTTCTGCTAGATTTTAACATACAAAAGATAAGTAATAACAGTTTAAAGACAAAATATCCTTATTGGGCCTCTGGGTTTGTCTTTGAGAAGCTGTCTTAGACCATAAAGGAAGGGAATAACTGATTAATCACCAAACGTTCCTTCAAGATTCAAGAAGTCGGGATGTAGAGGGAACAGCAGAACATTTGACAACATTTGCTGTTAAGCAACAAGGGTTTACGACACTTTTTGTACCCAAATAAGCTCTTTTAAAAATAAGCTCTTTTAGGTAGTAAAGAGAAGAGGAACAATGAGGAACAGTATTTAAAGTCTTAAATTCCTTTAATGACTTTACCAGATTATTTAATTTGGACCAAGACCAACACATAAAATGTGAAACACATTTTACTTTAATGCAAGAAAAAACCTTGTCTTTCAGCTTTGTTTTTGTTTTGTTTTGTTTTTTAAGGTATAGATGTTGTGGCCTCAAAAAATAAAAAAACCAAAGATCTATTATTAGATAGAGATGTTGAGAACAAGCTTGGTAACATACCAGACACAGCAGTAGACTTTGGAGGAGTTTCTAGACTATTCTGGCCTTAGGGTTCTCTGACAGAGAAATACCTGAGTCCTCCAAACCCCATGACTTTGTAGTATCGTTGCTTTCATGTATGGTTGGGCCATATGCCCAAAACCCCCAAACAGCGGTTTCACTTAACGGCTTCTCATTACGTTTGCTTTGGGAGTAGAGTCGGGGCTTTTGTGAAAGGAATAGGGAGTGCAAACAGCAGCTGAACCTATGCTCCCTAAAAGATCTCAAAATTCATCTAGGTTCAAGCCCTTTATTTCAGATTAAAGAAACTGGAATCCCAAATGATAACAACGGTCACATGGTGAAAATCCAGCAGCACTCCTAACCTAGCCCCACCCTTACTACATGCTTCAACTCCTGCAAAACAACAAATGCAATGGAAAACCAAAGCTTTTTACCAAAGAGCTCTTTGCCAAATCACCAAATCACCTATACAACTTAAGTATCTTATAGGTGTGCACACGCACACACTATAAACTGCAGATCTTTGAATAAACAGCTTTAGAGCCTGAAAACTCTCCTTATTTCTTTCCCTCTTTTCCACTAAATCCTAATTTCATTTGCAGATGGAGATAAGTGCTCATTTTAGTGGTTCTTTGTTAATAAATAAACCTGCAAGAATTTATATCAAATGATAATGAGACCCTCTGTGATTTTCAGTAATTTTATAACAGTTGGATTTTTTGTTTTTCCAATTTGTTCACTGATATTTTTCTTTCTCTTTTTTTCTCCTTTCATAGGTAGATTTACATTGTTTGTCTTAATAGTCACTCTGGCTTTCAGGTTTAAATGAAAATAACATTATCTGAATAGCTATTATGATTAGCATCTTAATCTGATGTTTTTATAAAACTATCGATGAGAATATTTTAAGAAATGTATCATAATTTGCTAATTAAATTAATTAAAAGTAATTGGTTTTCTATCAAGAACAATCAGTGTAGAGCCATGATTGATACTAACCTGTTTTATCCCAATTGTTATAAGATTGATCATCATAATTGTTCTTTGAGTCCTTTCTCCAGTTTGGCTTTAAGGGTTTGCCCCTGATCTTTTTATAATGTTTTAAATAATTTGGAGTATGAATTAAGAAATAAGCATCTAGGTATGTCCTTCTTTCTGTTGATAAAGTTGTACAAGGAAATTAGTTGATGTGTTAGGCCCCCAGGTTAGGGGGTTAGGTTAGGTCCCCAGCCATCAGTGGACACTGCAGAACTTACTAGGCCTACTCCCCACTACCCCTTTCTGGTTTCTCTTTGAAGAAAGTCACTGTTGTTGCCATTCAGCTCTCATGGGACATCCTTCTTTTTATGAAATTAGGATGCAGTTGGTCTGAGCCAGCATTCTAAGAAATTACGCAATTGATGTTTGCTTATGAATATGCTATGGACTGAATTATGTGCCCCTAAATTCATATGTTGAAACCCTAACCCCCAATGTGGCTGTATTTAGAGATAAGTACCCAAAGTGGAGGCCAGACTCAGGGTGAGCATCTCCCTCCAGCCCCACAGATTCCTTGCCCCACGAGGCCAGAGGAGGATAAGAGTAGGACTAAAATACTATCACACCAGATTCCAATATTTTTAAATTAAAAATCAATACGATTGTTGGAATTGGGAAAACAGCATTAATTGAATTATTATTGTGTGTCAGTCCTTGGTCACAGGCTTTCATAAAGTATCTTAGTTAATCTTCACCATTGACCCTGCTGCGTAAAATTACCATCCTCGTTTAACAAGTGCAGAGACTGAGGCAAAGAAAAATCAAGGAACATGTTCCAGGCCACAAAGCAATGTAGATTCAGGATTTGAATCTCAGTCTGCCTGTTTCTTCAAAATCAACTTTCCAACATTCTTCTAATTTATGATAGAAAAATTTCTGTCTTATCATAATTCTTGCCATTTTATTTCTTCCTCTGTTTCAAAATCCAAATTGGAATTTATTCATCACTGCAGAGTGGTTTCATACTCCTGACTCATAAAAAAGCCTGTACAATGATGGCTGAAATGTCTGTTTCTTAAACATTTACTTAGCATTATTCTGAGTTCTTTATATGTATTAAACCATCTAAACTTCACAACAACCCATGAAGTAGATATTACTACTATCCCAATTTTACAGATAAGGAACTATAAAGCACAGAGAGGTTAACCAATTTCCCCAGGGCCACACAGCTGGTGGTGAAGGAGGTGAGGTTCAGCTCTTAGCCTCTGGGCTCCAGTGTCTTTGTCACTGTTTAAGTTCCAAGCTGACTGCATAGTGGCAGGCAACCACTGTATTTACAAAATTCACACATTTCATCCATAGTCAAGTCTATCTTGGGGGATTTCATCAATCAGAATGAAATATAATTGCACCTTATTTTTCAGTTATCCCATCTCATAGTTATGTCTGCTCTGCTTCAACTCTCTTCATTGCGCTCGGCACAACCAATCTAGCGTCCCAGGTACCATATAAAATACAACGATGACATTGAAATGCTGGTTCTTGAACTCTCTCAATTCCTGACTTCCTTCTGCTCTCTTCAAAACTCTTCACGGTTGGCTTCCTTCAGTTGCTAACACCTTTGGCTTTACAGCTTGTCTCCTTCTCACCTTCCCCCATTTGGGTTTGGTAATGTTACGTCACTCTGCTTTCCTTCATAAAGAGCCAGCCTTTCCACAGCTCTCTGCCTCTGGCAATGGTTCCACTGAATCTGTGGGCTAAAGGCCCTGTTTTCCATGCTTACCCAGATCCCTAAGACGCTCCAAGCATCCACAACACTCCCATGCCTGACTTATCTAAGAGGAGCATATGAAAATGTGGGCAGTTTATCTGTTTTGACACAAGACTCAGAGAAATAGGTTTTGCACCTATGATTTACCTATTATCTACCGCACCTCTAATTCACTCTAATTTGCATCAAACTCTAGCATGAGTGATTGGGAATGATTTTTACTTTCTCACGTTTTTCTTCAATTACTAATTCTAACAAATAGAAATCACTGCGTATTTATGTGGCATATCTCAAGTTCTCTCACAAAAGAAACTGGTATGTTTAGCTTAAATGACCGTATGCATACTTTAGAGATATTCCAACATCTGGCCCTACTTTGCAAAGGCTTAGTTTCTCTAAAGTTACACCAGAAAGAATTCATTTGAAAACATAAGGCCATGGATGTCTACAAGAAAACCACATCAGTGGGACCGTAAAATATTTGCTTAAGTAAACATCAGAAATGTGACAAATTGCTAATTTCCTATGAAGGATTATAAAATTCCAGCTGAGAACTCTGGGCTGGGAGTAGAGGGGAGAGTAGAAATAGGAATGGTTCCCTAACCTCACAGACTCCTGCTCTAACTTTTGAATGAAAATATGGATGTCACCTGTTGGCTGAGAAGTTATCATTGGTCTTTACAACTGTTGCTCTTACTCAAGATGTGTCATATAAAGATTATAGGTCCCTTCCCATCACTATGCTGATGGGAAGAACAAGGCCTTTTAAGGGAAGTCAGAAATATCGAACTGAAATCCGTAGCATCAGAAAGACTTCATTATCAGAAAAACAGAGATAACGGTAACCATAAAATAATCAGAGCTCTCCAGGAAAGCCGTAACAATGACTGGGTACAGTATTGTACAGATGTCTACAACTCACCTTGTACTCTTATATCAAATTTATAATCCTGAGCCTATAACATACCCCTTTCCTAGACTGTCTTTTTCATTTCAGTTTAAAATTCAGATCTGTTTCAAATTCCTATTAGCTACTGAATAGCTATTCATTAGCTATTTAATGAAATACTGACCTCTGATGTATTTAAAACAGCCATCAACACTTTGTATGCTGTTTTTATACAACATGGATATATTTTGACTATTTCATAATTTGAGGATTGCGACTAGTTTGAAGACATTGAGACGTTATTAAAGTAGAAGCCATGCATTTATTAGCATATTTATATTTTGGTTTGTTTAAATGGCCCATATATATTCTGCATCATACAGAGACAATGGTTGCAACTTTTTAGAAACAGATATCAAGACTTCTTGGAGAAATGCTGATTCCAGGTCTGGGGCAGGAAATAGGGAAGTGAGCCTGGAACATCTTATCATCCCAAATAGTGAAGAAGTTATCAAAGTTATTAGGGTCACATCAAAAGGACTCAGGAGCCAACTTGAAGACTCTCCCACTGGCCAAAAATGGAATAAATTGCACATCAACGAGGATAAGAACTGTGATGGTATTTAAATCTATTATTTCATAAGGATATTTAAAGAAATACTTGCTTATCACCATTGTATGATACCAGAAAATAAACTCATCATTTTGAAATCTGTTGAGTAAAGAGTAAGAAACAGGGCTTCTCTGGTGGCGCAGTGGTTGAGAGTCCGCCTGCCAATGCAGGGGACACGGGTTCGTGCCCCGGTCCGGGAAGATCCCACACGCCGTGGAGCGGCTGGGCCCGTGAGCCATGGCCACTGAGCCTGCGCGTCCGGAGCCTGTGCTCCACAACGGGAGAGGCCACAACAGTGAGAGGCCTGAGTACCACAAAAAAAAAAAAGAGTAAGAAACATTTATGCTGCCTTTCTTAAAAAATAAAAACTGGGCACTACTGGTAACCAATTAGTAAATGCTAAATCTCTCCTTATTGAAAGTATTCCAGCTAGTAAAGGAAGAAAATGATAGAAATAGTATGTCACCAGTTTGAAACTCAGTGAACAGATGGGTTGAGGTTCTTAAGCATCAATAGCTACTAACATCACAAAAAGTGAGATGGTCAGACAGTATACACCTCTTGATGAAAGAACAAAATATCACTTATAAGCTAGTTGTGCCCCATCCCCCGAAATAATATCCTGAATCTTATCAAACTGCCAAGTGCAACTACTAAGTTAGAGATAGCACAGAAGACAAGGGAACATGTTAAACTATACCGTGGGTATGCAAATAGCAAAATCCAGATCACAGAAAATGCAACAGGACAAACCAAACACACAAGTACATAAAACTTCCAGGGTGGGGGAAAGATGAAGATGGATGGAGAATCTAAAGATGAAAGTTGACATAAAAGATATATCAACCAATCAATCACAGTCGTGGACCTTGTTTGTATTCGGATTCAAAGAGGAACGTTTGTGAGGCAATTGGAAATTTGAACCCTGGATAGACACTTGATAATCAGTTTTAAAATTCTTATTAAGTTTTTAGTGTGATGACATCGTGGGTACATTTTCTCAAAAAAGAATTATTTGTCTTTTAGAAATATACACTAAAGTATTTACAGATGAAATAGTATATCCAGGATTTGCTTCAAAATAATATGGGGTGGGGAAAGTGGATGAGAATATGGACCGGGAAAGATTGGCCATGGTTTCATGGCTTTTGGGGGCTGGATGACGGGGTTGATTTTCCTTTTCTATTTTGTGAATGTTTGAGGTTCTCCACAATAAAAAGTTAAAAGCAAAACCAACCAAAGTACATAGGAATTTCTTTGTTTATATTGTAATCTCAATGTTTAACCAATTTTAAATATTTCAAGGGAAGAAATTTATCAGAACAAACTTTTAAAATCTGGCATATATTCATGAGCTTCATTTAGTATTTGCAAAAGCAGCCCATTTTTCTAAGGAAAAGAGGAAGTACGAAGAACAAACTTTTCTTATTTTATTCATTTATAGTCTCACTTACTTACTTTACCCATATATATCACTTGTACTCATTAGGGCTACTGACATTGAATGGAAAGTCATTCTAGACAATAAGACTATATTCATCTATTTAAGTTTAGCTAGGTACATCATTATTTTAACAGGACAGAAATTTACCAACATGTAGATACCAGCTGCCTGTTTACTAAAGATAACCAGGTAAAAAACAAAACCAGAACTTTCTCCTGCTTATACTGCATAAGCCATTTTTTAATCCAGTACACAAAATAATTTTTTCATTTAAGTATTTTGGGCTATTTCTATTGACTTACTTTTGAACAATCTTTAATTGCATCATTTATATTACAAATGATAACATCAATTTTCCAACATCCCAACATCCAACATCCCTTAACCACTTTGCCTTTCCATATTTCAGTTTTCAACTTTCCAATGTTAGATTTTGCTTATCAATTTATTTGTTATTTCTTATGTCTACAGACTTTCAAGAGAAACATAAGAGCTGGCTAAAACACAAACCCTGTTGATTAAAAGATGGGGCAATGACACATCAAAATACTAACTTTAAACTTCTGATACAAAACTAGTGCCTTAGTTTAATCTTTCCATGATTAAGTAACTTTACTGTTTCTCTTTAAAGTTTAGCATGACCATTGTTTCTTCTTTGGATCTCTGAAAATGATCCTCTTCTCACGTCTTTCTCATCACACCCCACCATTCACCTGTTTCAAACCCATATGTAAAGGTTAGAATTTAGGAGCTAGGCTCCAAATGGAATCAAATCAGATTTTTCCCACAGGGTCCTTAAACTAGGGAGGCCTGAATGATATACAACTAAGAATTGTCTTTTAGTTAAGGGGTATTTTTTTCCCTCTGTGATTGTTTTGTAACAATATCAAAACATTTATGAAATGTTTACCCCCACAGAACCCGAAGTGCACTTTTTTGAGTCATTGGCTCATTTTCAATTACTGAAATAACCAAAGAAAGAACAAACACATCCAAACAAGTAAATGGAAAATACACTCTCCTCCTCTTCTGTTTCTCTAGTGCAGAGTCTGTTCTCATTTATGATATTTATGATATCAAGATCCCCTTTCTTGCATAAAATTGATCGTTACAAGAAAAACACTCACCCAGGACACGAAGTTGAAGATAAACATAGAATATTTTATACAGACACTCACACCTGCCATGTCGGAAAAGGATCAGGAATCCAGATGCTGTGAGTTTAACCGTTCCTTCTAGGATTGTTCTGCAATGGCTCTGGAATAATTTGCCTGCAGAGATTTCTTTGTTCACGGCCTCAGAGCAGAAATAGAAAGCAAAGAAGTTGGGGCTGGGGGGTGGAGGGTGGATAATCCAGTTATTAAAGTGGATTAAAAAGTAACACACACAGTTAAATATCACAAGGTCTATCTCTAGGCAGGTGTGTTCTTTTGCTTGTCGTGGCCCCTAGGGTACTGGGCCAGAATATTTATGATGCTTTCTCCAAAACTGCCTTCTGTAAAGTAAACAGATACCAAGTTAAGGGAGTGGTGCTAGAGCAGGGAGAGAAGGGCACAGCCATACAGGCTGTTGATTTCAGATACCACAACCTGACTTCCCCTGCCTCTATTTCAACTACAGGGAAACAAGATTGTTTTGCCCTGAGATAAAGGGACATTGTGTCTCAACTCATTTTTGCACTGTCTTTTCTCAAGAGTGCAAAATTTCTTCTAGATACAACAAAATGCATTTAGAAATCTGCAAAGTCTGAAGGCTTAAGACACAGCAACCTTTCATCCTTAACCCCAGAATGGTGGGAACAACCATGGACCTGCCTTTCAGAGCTTCTAAATTTATTTCAAAACAGTTCCATGGAGCTGCCTTCAAGGCAGTGCAGCTGGGGGAAGTGGGGAGGGAGAGGTTGCCCTCTCCATCACAAGACCATTTAGTTTTTATCTTTATTTCTTTATGATGTAAAAGGGAAAAAATTCTCAGGAGTTACTCTCTGACTGTCCCTATTGTGTTCATTTTCTAACATGTAGCCATTCTGAGAGCTCAGTTTGTTTTTAAGGTGGGCCCTC